CCCGGGCGCCGCGCCCTCGCGTCCAGCCGGAGCGCCGCACTGACCCGAGGGCGGGCCGGGTGCGCCCCGGCGCGGGGAGACACCAGCAAGGCCGGCCTTTCCACGGAGGCCGCTTAGCGCTTGTGACCATATTTGGTCTGGCGAGGAGGCATCTGGGCTGCCTGGCTTCCAGTTGTCTGCTGGAGCGCAGACGGTGCCCAGAAAGTGCCTCTGTCGCCGGAGACGCGGCTTCGCCAACCGGTGGGTTGTAAGCACCACCTTCGAATCGCTCGTCAATCCTCAGTTTCCTCTACGGGGTGACTCAGGCCGCTAGGGATGGAGAAGAAACCGGGTCAAAGCTGGGTACTGGAAGGAAAGAGCAACTGCGCCCCCCGCCCCCGCGACATCCGCGCGGGCAGTGGGAGGATTGGAATGTCCCTGCCGCCCTCCAGGGAGCCTGGAGCTTGGATAGAACCCGAGCAGGTGGCCGGGAGGACAGAGGGTGCGTCAGTGACCCGGAAAAAGCCACCCACCCTCCACCGACTGGATCTGGGCCAGGGGTGGACCCCTGCCTCTAGCTAAGGGAGATTGTCGTGCCCTGCAAGACAGCTGCGGGAAGTGGGAGGCGGCCTAGCCCTCCAGAGTAGCTCAATTCCTTCTCTCTAGGCCTCCCTCTCCATGGGGGGCGAGGGGGGGAGTCACATTCCGGGAAGCCCCTGCTCCACCCACTTGATTAAAATAGAAGTGTATTAAATAAATTAAATGAGCAATGTGTGCAAAGCGTTTCGCCCAGCTCCTGGCTGCTACATAGGTGTTTGATCAATAAAGTAGAATTGTTTTAAGTTGAGGTATTGTGCCTTAACCTTTTTATAAGGGTGAAATAAAGTCAAAGTTAAAAGCTGAAGTTGCCTTCATGGAGAAAAGTTTAAGTGAAAGACAAGGCCACCCCTGAGTTTTGCCTTAGAAGAGGTAGGAGAATTTGGGGGCCACTCCTTGAATGGTTGCTTCCATCCCCAAAATAGAACGGACTGGAAAATAGACTGGAAGCAAATTAGGGCTGCCTTAGACAAAGACAGACACCAAGGTCACCTTCAAAGCTAAGCAAAGCACGGCCCCTAAGGAGCCAGGTGCTGTCCATGCAGCAAGTCCACTGCCCATAGGACTGGCAGAGGGAAGGGGGAAGCCCACTCCACGGGAAGTAGAATCTTTGCAAGCTTTCCTCAGAAGCCACCATGGCTGCAACAGTGAGGAAATTCGCTATGGAACTAGAGGGAGTGATCGGGACCAAATGGTACTAATTCAGAAGCCATGGGCTGAGTTGGTGATTAAAGCATGGAAGCTTGAGGCTGGCTCTACTTCCCAGAAGGAAGATGAGGATCAAGGTTGGGGCTGGATGAATGAGAATGCAGTCTTCATTCCTTTGCAAGCTCCAGTAGAAGATGGAGGATTGCTGGGTGTGGTGGCTCCAGCCTGTAATCCCAGCATTTTGGGAGGCCGAGGCAAGAGGATTGTCTAAATTGAGGGGTTCAAGACCAGCCTAGGCAACTTGATGAGACTTTTGCCTCTACAATAAATCAAAAAATAAGCCGGGCGTGGTAGCGCATGCCTGTAGTTCCAGCTACTTG